AAGTAGATTTAAATTTTCGGCTTTTTATTTCGGCTAACGAATTTATTGTTGGCTAACGAATTTATTTTTCGGCTATCCGGGAACGAATTTATTTTTCGGCTATCCGGGAACTAATTTATTTTTCGGCTATCCGGGAACGAATTTTTTTTTCGGGTATTCGGCTCCGTGACACGCCACCGTTTTATATTTTTGCTGAAGCATTTCTTAGGTTTCATTGCACACGGATGGAGGCTTTTTAAACGAGTCTTGACAACGAATTTGTTGCTGCTCAGATTGGGGTACGCTAGTTATTTCCAGACTTTGATGGTCGCCCAGATACTATTCGGCGACCAAAGTTTCATAGTCTGAACGGCATTTTTCAGATGCGGACTAAGTCTGGAAATATCGGATGTCGATGGTCAGATTTCGATTATCTGGAATTTAATTGCGATCGATTCTTTAAATCAGTCGTTATAGCCTTGAAATAATCGCGATACTGTAACAAAAATGTCAAACTTAATCTGACAACTTATCGCGATCGTGATCAGCTCATAGGGCGAGCTCGAGTTGTCAAAACAGATCATGGTGCAGAAGGTATCCACGCACCATGATCTGTTTTGACCTTACATCAAAGGTTGACTGAGCGAGTCTGGAAATTTTACGGAAATACTTGAAACGAGAGGCGGAATCAATGGAATTCAGTTTGTTTGGAATTTCTGACTGAAAAGACAATTTTTTTTATTTGATTTGATATGTCTACTTTTTTCCAGAAATTGGCATTTCGATTGACTGATTGGGCTGATTTAAGAAAAGTTTTTTTTTTAAATTCTCGAGTCAGATCCATGTTCAGATGGATGCCAAATTTGATTATTGTTTAGTTTTAGCATGACAATTTTATGATGTGTGATTTTTGGGGAATAAGATTCAAAAAAGTTTCGAGTGCAGCAAGCTTCTGTTAATGACCACTGGTACTGTAGCCCAATGTCTTTTAGTTTCTAGAAGGTCAAAGACACAACGACGATGCGTGATGTGGACTTGGACTCTGAACCCTGGGAGTAAGAGTCAGTCGGTCATACGAAAAAGGTTTAATTTAATTGACTCGACGTAAGTTTTCAATGAAATTCAATTGGCCCTGTCATGCTCAATTTTCTTGCAACAACTGAAAATCAGAAATCAAGGAACAGAGCAGCCGAATTAACCTTAGCGGGAAAATTGGTAAAAATCAGACGAGAGACAAATTTGTCCGTAAATATTAATTTAAGGTAGATTTGTTTAGTTCTACAATCAAATTGAACGAGAAATAAAAAGAGCGTATATACCGCACATTTTACAGTTGAAGCAGTAAAGCGAAGGGTGTGTGTCAACTAGTTGCCTCAAGGATGCATGCAGAGTTCCCGCGCTGAATCGCTAGGTCTAGCTTTTGTTTGAGAATTTTAAAAGCTACTTTCTCACCTGTTAAGACTGTTGTTTGCCTTGCAAGTTCTTTCAAGAAAACTGCAGTAGACCTACCAGCGCCACCCAGTGTTTCCATGGCAACGGGTTTGAAAATTACAGTGGAAGACAGATCTGAATAGTGGTTTTTTTTTGCAGACTTCGGCCTCGGAAGCTGCATTGGCACCCGGAAGAACTCCCATTCGCAGCTTAGAGATTGCCATACGACTTATACATAAAAAATCCCATGCCAAGGTCCGTCCTCGCTGCCATGGCATTAGTGTGTGTCTATCTGGTCTGCGTCCATCTTTGCGTAGCAGCCCGATAGGTTCTAGTGTGGAACTGATGCCGAGTGATTTTATAGAATCTTTAATGATCATGTTGCCATTCGAGTGTCTGATGAACCTGTGCTTGATCTTCGGGCAGACAAATGCGTGTCTTCCATCTGTTGCTGCGACATAGCCACATTTAAACGTGTGTTGTGCGGTTACTGGGGCTCCAAAAGCAGACCAGCTGAAATACGGAACTCATCATTGGACAAAGTCAGACCCAGCGGACGAGAAGGAAGGACGTCCAGCCAAGCGCCTAAACCTACCGCGCGACAGCCGTGATTACGAGCAAGTGAGTTTTTGTCGGTACAATTGCTCAAAATTTTTGCGGATTGTTGTTCGTAGATAGGTTTTGTCCAAAATTTTTGAGCGCACTGGGGGTTAAGTCTTCAAATCGGTGGTTGCTGAGAGACTCCCAGTGGTCGACGGCTTCGTTAAAAAGACCAGGATTGCTTATCTCAGGAGAAAGGCAGTGCCGTAAATTTTCAGTGGAAACAAAAGAAGCAAGAAATGCTGATGACCTGAGAGCGCTGGTGTTTGAAAGACCAAACCCTTTTTGTTTCGTGGGCAAGCAAATACAGTTGAAGATTCTCTCAAGTCAAGGCGTACACGTGTGTCGATTTCGTCGAGTAAATCTGTGTGTTTAAAGGCAGGACTAGCGCGGATGACATACATAAGTTTAGGGACAAAGAAACAAATTTTAATCAGAAAGAAAGCGGTTTGACATGGTAAAGAAGCTGTTCGCTGCAGGAGTGTCTTCAGTTTCGCAAGTTTTTCCACTAACTCTGCTCGATTTGACCGAGTGCCTAGACCAGCCCCAAGAAGTGTGCTGTCCTCGGCATCAACGAATTGAATAGTGGGAAATGTCTCACGAAAAGCTCTTTCTATCTCCTTTTAACTGCTCCCAAAAGCTGTCACCTCGCATTTCTTCTCAATCAAAGGAAGACCAAGTTTCTCACATGCTTGTTTGATACTCAGAAGATCATGGATAGTGGTGCGCCATTCATCAGCAAGAGCAACGTCATCCAGGTATCCAGTTTTCAGCTTGCTCAAGAGGTTATGCAAATCAGGATGCAGGACAAGACAAAAGCCAAACGTAGCCCAGGGATCGCCTTGCAGAAAACCTTCTGTTGATTTGATGGTGAAGGCACCATATAACAAGAAACTGCTGTCTTCGTAGCAGAGTTTCACAAAGCTAAGGATCTCCGGGGCGTGTTCATTGATGGCTTTCAAAATGACATCACGTCATACACTGTTGAAGGCGTTGGCAAAGTCAATTTTGACAAAGGCTTGATCACGTTCTGCGCATTCAATGATATCGCGCGCTACATGGGCCGCCGCCTCACTTCCGTGTTTAACACCATCTCTAGCTGAAAAGGGAAAAGGCCAAAAATAATCTTTGAGTTTTTCCAGCATGCGCCGTGAAATGCATTTGGAAGTGAGTCTTCGCAAAGTGTCTCCAATCGCGATCGGGCGTATTTCTCCTCATTTCTTGGCCAAAGAGATGAGTGTAGCACTGGAGACGACAGGCTTGATGAACGCAGGGATGTTGCCTGTCAACAATAAATTTGTGTAGTCTGTCAGATGCGAAAGCACGTTGTTGCCAGCTTCGTTAGCAGATGGTGAAAGTGCGTCTTTCACGTGTTGTGGTCTGAGGCCCGTCGGTCCACCAGCACTACCTGCAATAAAAGACATGACCGCTCTCCTGACTTCAGACTGACTAACTTGAAGTTGAACACAGTCGTTAGATGGGGGTGTAGCTTTGTCTGCGGGTGCAGGAGGGTGTTTCGCGTCTTTCTTGATCTAGGAGGGGTATTCAATTCCCCGGATGGCACAGTCGAATCTTCCAGGCCGCGTTGAAAAGCATCTCAATCATGATTTTGTGATGAAAAGCAGACTCAGATTATTCCAGAATTTTAATATTTTGAGTTTTCGATTGGAACTGGAATATTGCTGAGAAATGATAAAAACGGATATGTTAACATTACATCGTGACCAGGGAATGCAATATATACATCGATATTTCTTGTTTAATTATGTCTTTGAAAGCCAGTTTTAAAAATAAAATGGATTTTGATATTTTTGACACGGTAATAATGAATATTCCTTAAAAATGAAAAACAATTCGATATTATTGATACTTTTATACCCTCATCTTTTAAATTTCAATTTTAACATCTGAAAAACTTGCAATTTTTCATGAAACTATAAAAAAAACGAATAAAAGCATTTTTTCTGTTCGCTTTTTGCTGCTCCTCAGTTGCTTAAGCGATTCTTAAGAGTTACTCCCAACTATTGGTTGACTAGTTGTTAATGGAGAGGGAAATATCTCATTTTTGAGCTGAATATCAATATTCGATGAGTCAAGTCAAAAATCGAAGAATATCAAAAAATCGATACTGTCGTGATTTCATTATTCGATATTGACCTAATCCAATTTTTTTATTTCCCTGATTGTGTCAGAAACGAAACAGCCGAGAGCGAGACGAAAAACAGTCGAAGGAAGAGAGATGATAAAAAAATCGAAACGAAGTCTCCTATCGTGACACGCAATCACGGTAAGGTGCTTACTGGTAGCGGAAACGGAAGGTCCAGTGGGATATTCGTGACAGCTCCGAACCCTACCAGGCATTAGAAGATTAGAGATAACGACGTTATTCCTGAGAGAGCTTGGTTGGCAGATCCGGTGCCCAGAGACTCTTTCAACAAACAGTTTTAGCAGCTGTAATGCTCTGAACGCAATTAGTTTGATAAGTTGTTGATTTGGTACTTCACAGTATGAGCATTTAGAGGCGAGGAAAGAGTCAATCCATCTCTAAAGGATCTTTCATATAACTGTCACTAACAATACCTTTAATTGTCGTTCTAGCCGTGTTTTTAGTGATTATCACGTTGTCTGAGGGTCTGAGATCCGATCCAGCCATGAGGCTATGAATATGATTACATACAAACCAAAGTTGATTTAAATTTGTTTGGCTGATGGTAACCAAAAACGGTAACAAAATGATTATTTCTTAAGCAGACCTGAAAATCAACTGGCTAGGTCGAGACGGTTGAAAACGAGTAGAATTAAGGAAACTGTTGTCAATAGGGATTTTTTCGACGCTCCGTCACCGTGTATTTTTTGGGCGAATTTTTCATGGCTAAAAAAGTGCAAATTGTGGAGCAAGAGACAACTTGATTGGGAAGTTCGCCCACTGAAATGACCCAATGGTCCAAGAATTAGTTGAGTTGTACTTGACGAAATGTCATAGCCTAATTGTTGTGATAAACTTATTAAATAGATTTTTTCAGTTAAAAATGAATAACAGGGCAGCCGTGGTGGCCCTCTATTTCTAACTACTGATTATCACTACACCAAATTCAACAAACCTGGTCTCTGGGAAAACAGCTTCTTCCTTCTTTTCTCCATCTCCAGTACCAGCTGAGTTCTTTCCTTATTTCCTTATTTTTATCTCTATGTTAGAAATCATAGCCGCAAGTTGCCTTTCTCCCTCAATCGAACAAGGTCTAACCCCTGAACAGAAAAATATAGTAAAGCAAATTGTCTACGCCGAGGGGGGATTTAACCTGAACCCATGGACGAACTTTAAATTTAAAAACGTTACCGATTATATACGAGCAACGAGCAAATCTATTATACTATAGCACGATCTTATCAACAATTCGATCACAGAGTTTGAAAAGATCAAACCCCTTACGACTCAGCAACTCCTGGATACTCTCAGAAGCTTTAACAATCTGTTTGCTATTGTCTACTGTCAGCGTACGGGAGCAGAAAATATATTCGACGAGCTACGAACTCTTGACACGATTGTCATCGACGTTACAAAACATCTTATCAGCAAATCAGAGAGTCTAGACGAAAACATCACAGGACTTTATCGCGAGCTGCACGAGTCATCTGATCTAGAACTACGATCTTTCTCGGTAGTCTTGCACTACTATCCGAACCTTCACGCGATCTTCAAAACCCGCTCCGAAAAACAAACCATCGAAGAATCGACGAAGAGCCAAGAAGAGGCAACGCTCAGCAACCCCACAATAAAACGGTTAGTAAAACTCGTACTGTTTGTACTCTTTGAGTCCTTTGACTCGGAGTCCCCTTTCTAGTTTTACTACATTAGTATATAACTGAGTGTACTCTTTGAGTCTTTTGACTCGGAGTCCTCACCAAACAAATATGACACGAAATCTTGAAATGACCACTGATTCCGTATGCGAAACTTGCCAACAAAAAATCAAAAAGAATGAAGATACTTTCTGTTGCATCGTGTGTAATTGCAAAATGCACCTGACGAAAAGCTGTACCAGCCTAAGCGATACAGCAATCAATGGTATTACGACACTGGGAAAAAACATTGCTCTACTCTGCAACAAATGTGTGGATTCCAACGGATATGAGAGACTCAGGAAAGCAGTCAGTGACGCTGAACAAACCTCGCCGAAGCAATTCAAGAAGATTGAAGAGGACATGGACGAACTCAGAAAAAACGTACAGGAGATTAAAACGCTGTTCTCCCAAACCACAATGAAGCCAAATGAGATCAAATCAGAAGCAAAAACCAAGGTACCGATAAACGCAACGCCTAAACAAGAAAATCAAAACGAAATCCGCATCCGCGGCATCCCTGAACTAAACGACAGAGATCAGAGAAAAAGACAAGAAAATGACCTCCAACAAGTAAAGGAAATCTTGGAGCACATGCAAATTGTGCCAGAGATAGTTGATCTGTTCCGAATGGGTCAACGACAGGAAGGCAAGGACCGAACCATACTGGTAAAAGTCCCAATTTGGCAGAAACGACTAATACTATCATCCGCTTGCCGCCTAAAAACATATGACAAACCTGTGTTTGTCAGCCGCGAGCTATCAGTGGATGAAGCAAAACTCGAAAATCAAGCACTGCAAAAACGGCGGGAGCTCATAAATGAAAACATCGATAAACAAAACCTGCGCATCCGCGATGGAAAACTCTACCAGAAAATAAAAAACAGATGGACAGCAGTTGCAACCGAAAAAACGGAGAACTCAATCTCCAATTGACTAGAACTCTTTCCTAGCCTACTCATCTACAACGTCCAAAGCATACTCGAATACAATCGAAGATCAAACTTCGCAAATGCGATAAACACAAGCTGTCAATACCAACTACTTTGCCTAACCGAAACATGGTTAACCAACGACATAACAGACAACTCCATATTCCTGCCTCAATTTGAACTCTATCGATCTGAAAGAACTTCAAAAGCCGTCTATCAAAACAAGGAGGAGTTCTAATTGGCATCAACGCCAACATACCACATAACCGCATTGATACAGGCATGCAAGACTGAGTAATGGTTCAACTCAAGATATCTGTACCAATACTTGTCTGCTGTATATATTGTACCCCTGTGTATAGCCCATACTGATGGTCACTAGATCAACTTAACTCATTGCTGAACTTAATAAAAGCAACACAACGCGAGCAAGGCATACAAAATCTTGTCATTGTTGGAGATATCAACTTCTCGTGTACAAATAGGAAATCACTCTCATCAAAATGCGAGTACGAACAAAGCATCCTAGACAACTTCCAGAAATTAAACCTGGATCAATTCATCATAACCGATACTGGAAAGAGCCTGGATATCCTGCTCTGCAACAATCCTGATATCATACTAGACGTATACATGGACAATCGGCTCAAAAACGACTTCACCTCAGATCACCCACCTTACGGCTCAAAGTTACATATGAATCACAAAATAAATCACGAAAGGGTCCCTCTACCCTCCCAAAAGTACGACTTTTCAGGCTTTACCTTCAAAAAAGCCAACTGGAACGAAATCAACGAATATGTGCGAGAGCACCACTTCAACCCATACTGCTACAGCAACGTTGATCTCCTGGTAGATCAGTGGTATAATTGGATCTACGGTATTATAGTCAAACACATACGCCGAACAACCCAACATAGGAAACATCTATCGCCCTGGATTTCTCCCACGAGCTCAAACCTTTTGAAAAAAGTAGAAACTCTCAGACGCCAAAGTAAAAGAAATACCCTAAAGATCCAGCAATTACAAACTGAATTGTCCTTATCACTCTCAACAGACCAATGCAATCATGAAACAGAAATTTTCAAATCTGGAATCTTCTCAAACGTCCAAAAATACCTCAAAACTATCATGAAAACAAGCTCAATCCCAACTGAAGTATTTCTTGACGATAAGTCAGCTAATACCGATATCGAAAAAGCCTAATTATTTAATCAGTACTTCCAATCCGTTTTCAGTAAGAATCACCACGATTATACTCTCACAGAGGGACAGCCCAAGCTGTCGATGATTCATTTCTCAGAACTACAAATACAACTCGTTCTCCAATCGCTGGACGAGAGCAAGGCCAAAGGACTTGACCGTATGGGGAACAACCTGCTGAAAAAATTAACAGACTCCCTACCAAAGTCACTGCATCTCATATTCAACACAATTGCAAACAAATGCTACTTCCCATCATTCTGGAAAACAAGCGAAATAATCCCCCTATTTAAAGAAGGGAAAAAACAAATGATAGATAATTACAGGCCGATCAGCCTCCTCGTAGCAGTATCCAAAGTCCTCGAGAAACTTATTTTCGACAGAATGTACCCAATCTTATCCACCGCATTGTCCCAATCTCAACACGGTTTTCGGCAAAGACGCTCATCAATAACAAACCTAATCGAATACCTGCACAAAATGTTGGATCTAATCAAAAGTTACCTGACCGGTCGAACCCAAACAGTACGCATCGGCAGCTCGGTCTCAAGCCAACTGCCAATTTATAGTGGAGTGCCGCAAGGATCTATTCTAGGGCCACTTCTTTTCTTAGTATACATCAACGACTTGCCAAAATGTGTCATGTCATCGTGCTACGGCTATGCGGTTGACTATAAAATTATGGGCACCGACCCGACTACCCTGCACATTGATATTAGAAAAGTCTGGAAGTGGTGTGAAACCAATGAAATGCGCCTCAATATGACCAAGAGCAAAACACTAGTAATTAAGGGCGAGTGCAACCTAAGTATATTCTCGTACAAATTCAAACAGCCTAACGAACTTAAAGATCTTGGAATGATAATGTCAAAAAATCTTAACTGGACTTCTCATGCAAACACGCGTGCGAGCAAAGCACTGAAGGCCCTATACTGCATCAAAAGAAACTTATCACCTGCCACAACCATGAACAACAGGAAAAATGCCTATAAAAGCTATGTAGTACCTATCGTTAGCTATGCATCATCAGTCTGGAAACCCTCAAAGCAAGATCTTGCCACCTTAGAAAAAGTGCAACAGAGAGCAACGAAATGGATACTTGGAAATAAACAAATTCCTTATAAATCGAGGTTAACCACTCTTCAAATTCTTCCCTTGTCTCTTTACCAAGAAATGCATGTACTACTTTTGTTCGCGAACATTCTAAGAGGAATGACCGACCTGGAATGGTGGCGATTTATAGAAATCACTGAATCAAATCGACCGAAAACAACAAGACGTTTCAACGCGAAGAACTTTCGACTTTATAAATGCAAATCTGATTTCTGGCAACGCGCCTGCAGCCTGACAAACATATTTCACGATCACCTGAAATATGAAGTCCTATTAAGTGACTCGTTTCAACCAAAAATATCAAGAGTGTACTGGCAATTCTACGAGAAAATCTACAATGAAGTCGATACCTGCACCTGGAGAATCAACTGCGGATGCACAAGATGCTTAAACTTCAAAAAACTAAACTCATTAAACTAAAATTTGATTGATCTCATAAACTTGATTAAATATTAATAATAATAATAAAACAGAATTTAGGATACAACCATGGGAGTTAGCTCCCGAATCAAGTTTATGAGATTGTGCCATTCTGCCAGATGGCACAGCGCAACCTTCCGACGAAGCACGAATCAGAGAGAAAAGGCCTTAACAGCAAAAAAGTGCTTGAAAGGAGGGTCAGAATATTCTGGAATATTTATTTTTAAAATTTCGATTTTCAAGTTGATATTTCTCAGAAATACGAAAAACGGCCATTTTGAGCCAAAAAGTGACGAAAATCAGAACAACGACAGATGTTGTGGAAAACAGTCGTACAAGAGACGGAAAACACGAAGCCTCTTATCGTGGCAACAACGCACGATAAGACCGTTATCAGCGGATATTAGTGGAGAAGGAAGCTTCAGTGGGGGAAGAAATATACCACGGAACCCTCCCGAGACGAAAAATAGAAGAGACAAGAGCGTAATTATTCGCTGGAATAT